TGTTAGGACTTTGGCAACTCTTGCAGATGGAGTAAATGCTGTTTGCATAAAGGGATGGGCATGAGTCTTTGGGGGACCAGGGGTGAAATGTTATGATTTATGTCTGTGTCTCCCCCCAATGCCTCATGCAACCATGGGGCAGGCTATTAGAGTTGAATGATTGTGGGTGTGAGAGCTACACCCGCCCTGGGGTGGATAGTTTGCATATGTAAGGGAGAGCAAAAGAGTGCTTGGGACATTCCTCTCCCATTCCGCCCTGGTGTGTGGTTGTGGCTTAGCTGTGTGCTGCCACCCTGAGATGCAGCCCTCTGCCACGTGCCCCTCTGCCTTATAATCTGGCAAGTACGGATTGAAACCTCCACAAACTGTAAGCAAAATAAACCTTTCCTTCCTTAATTTTGGGCATCAGATATTTTGTCCCAGCAGCGAGAGAAAAGTAACCAAGACACACACCAATAAATGTAATACACCATATCAACAGAACCAGAGACAAAAATCACATGATCATCTTAGTTGATGTAGAGAAAGCTTCTGATAAAGTCCAGCACTCGTTCATGATAAAAACCCTACAGAAAATTGGACTAGATGATCTTTATCTCAATTCAATAAAAGCCATCATCTATGACAAACCAATGGCCAGCATTATACTAAATAGACAAAAATTGAAAGCTTTCACTCTAAAATCAGGAACAAGATGATGATGTCCACTGTCTCTGCTCTTATTCGATGTAGTCCTGGAAATTTTATCCAGAGTAGTTAGATAAGAGAAAGAAATAAAAGGAATAATGATAGGAAAGGAAGGAGTTATTTTATCATTATTTGCAGATAACATGTTACTCTACGTAGAAGACCCCAAAAGCTCCACCAAAAGACACCTAGAGTTAATAACCAAATTCAGTCACATGGCTGGTTACAAAATCAATGCTCAAACACCAATAGCATTCTGGTATACAAGAAACAAACTTATTGAGAGAGAAAGGAAAGAAACCACACCCTTCACAATAGCATTCAGCAAAATGGAATACTTAGGAGTCAGTCTAACAAAGGAAGTAAAAGATTTACATATTGAAAATTACAGTGCTCTGAAAAAGGAGATCAAAGGGATATCAGGCAATGGGAAGATATCCCTTACTCTTGAATAGAAAGAACCACTATAGTGAAAAGGGCCATACTCACAAAATTGTTATACAGATTTAATGCAATTGTGAACAAAATACATTTAGCATACCTCACAGAACTAGAGAAAACATTCCTAAAATTCATCTGGACCCAGAAGAGATCTAGAATAGCAAAGTAATTCTAGGCATCAAAGGCAAGGCAGGAAGTACAACAATCCCTGACTTGAAATTATATTACAAAGCTCCTGTGATAAGATCAGCATGGTACTGGCAAAAAAACAGACCCAAGGACAAGTGGAACAGATTAGAAAATGCAGACACAACTACAAACACACTCAGCCACATTATCTTTGACAATAGGACCAAACATATTCACTGGAAGAAAGATAACCTCTTTAATATATGGTGCTGGAAAAACTGGCTCTCCACATGCTGAAGACTAAAACTAGACCCATGTTTATCACCACGCCCTAAACTAAAGTCAAAATGGGTCAAATATCTAAATATTAAAACAGGAACACTAAATCTACTAGAAGAAAAAGTAGGTAGAAACCTTGAAGACATAGGAGTAGGCAAAGACTTCATAAACAAAATCCATACTGCATGGGAAACACTTCAAAAAACCAACAACTAGGATCTCATCCTATTAAAAAGCTCTTGCACATCAAGAGAAATCACCATTGGAGGGAAAAGACAACCAACAGAATGGGAAAAGTAATATTTTAGCTAACTGTCCCTCAGGTAAAGGACTTATATCTAGTATATATGAAGAACTGAAAAACATCAGACCCCCCAAATTCAAAGACCCAATCCAATAATGGGCATCTAAAATGAACACATACTTCTCAGATGAAGAAATACAAATGGCAAATAAATACAAATGGCAAATAAATACAAGAGAAAATGTTCAACATCCCTGATCATTCAAGAGATGCAAATTAAAACAACACTAAGATTTCATCTGACCTGAGTAAGAACGGCTGTCATCATAAATTAACCAACAAGAAGTGCTGGAGGGGCTGTGGGGAAAAAGGAATGCTTTCTCACTGTTGGTGGCAATATAGACTGGTACAACCCATGTGGAAATCAGTTCCTCACAAAACTAGGACTGGTGGTACCACTTAATCCAGCTGTTCTTCTTCCAAGTATTTTCCAAAACAGATTTTTAAAGGAACCAAATATACCATCTAAAGAAATTCATTTCGTGTCTAAAAACATAAATAATTTATACCTGAAACTAATTTCAGAGAAAATACAATTTATTTTAAAAGCTTCAGAAGGTACAAACAAAGTTGATACAAGGATCTGTTTAACAAGAATATAACAATTTTCACTTTGATCATTTACTGAGCACCTATCTAAAAAATATAACCATTTCTTCATTTTCTTAAAGTGTGTGTGTATTTGCAGTATAATGGTGTAAGTTAGTGAAATGCTTGAAATGATGTATAATAAAAATGTGTCTTCATTTTCTCAAAAACAAACAAGGAAAAAGGATCAATAGGTTGAGGTTTTTGCTAGTCTAACTTATAGTCAATAATTACTCGACCAATCTCTTTCATAATTTGCAATAATGTATGTGAACTCTGAGTAGAAAATTGTCTTCTGAAAGAAGTGGATAGTTTTATTATGACAAAATATTGAGAAAATTAATTTGTATTTTAAAAAGCCAACCCAATTCTCTCCCTGAAACAGGGCTTAACTTGCCACACCTACAAAGAACTGGTTAATCTTTGAACAGGTATTTGGAGCATTGCCTCTTTCTTGTTTCATAAGTTCTGAAGACAAAACAAAGAATCAGCACCTGCTTAGCTAGAGAAGTAACAAGTTATGGACCAGAAACATCTGCAACTGGCACTGAATGATGGGCATTTCATTCCTGTCCTGGGATTTGGAACCAGTATTCCTAATAAGGTAACAATAATGTTTGGGGCTTGCAGATTTAAGGCAAAACATCTTAGCATGAGTGGAAGCTGGCCAGTATTTTCAAATTTGTGTTCCTGTTACTCAGGGGACTCATTTGGATGTCCGTTTTTTCAGGCTAGAGTTAGCCCATGTATGAGAGAGCAGGTAGTAACATTTTACTCTGCACTGTGATTTTCTCTGTGAAGACCTGCTGATTATCCTGGACTCCACTTTGCTGATTGCTTGTCTATTTCATGGCATGATGCAGGATGTGGAACCCGACAGTCAGGAACACTGCTTGTCATTCTTGGAGTCTGATTTCAATGGGATTGGTTTGTTTCTGTAATTCAAGGAAGTTTTCCTTTTTGCAGGGTGATGTGATCCAGAGAAATCTTTGTGGTAGAAGTTACTAGAAACAAGGAGCATAAGAAAGGTGGAATAATGTTGGTGTTCTGCTGAGGAGCAGCCTTCTGGGCACTGCTCAGCAAATACTGGACCTGGTGGGCTAGATAGGATATCACGGGCACCACTCTCCATCCTGGTGAATTTATCTGAAAGGAAAATGTAACATCATATGGGAGGTAAACTATACTCCAATGAAGCAAGTCTAGTTTCTTGGTCAACATTCATATACACTGAATTTGAAAGAAGAGTGTAGAGATAGAACTCTAACACAAACATGAGCAAGTGGGTAAATCATTAAGCTGAGAAAATATTTTCATTCCCACATTATTGCAGATTATCCAATGTGTGGCCAAGGTCCAGCTACATAAAACCTGAATGTCATGTGTCTTATCTTTTAGTCATAAACAAATATTGAGAGACATTTTGATGATCTTTAATAACACTTTCTCTTCATAGAGCAAATAGACATGAATGATGAATAAGGACAAAACTATAGATTCAGACTTGGTAAATCTGTATTGGTGAATAGCCCTGGTCTGGGATCATGAAAGGCTGCAAGAACAGAATTTTCTAATTTCATGGAAAAAAATATAGATTCTGAAATACTTCAAAATACGTAGAAAATAATTTGATTTTAATTTCAGCTTTTTTCTTTCATAAAAGCACTTTAGAATCTTCATTCAATTTTGCCATACAAACAGTCCATTTTGAACAGCTATAATGAAATACCTGAGACTCAGTTATTTATGAGAAGCACAGATTTCTTTCTTACAGCTGCAGAAGTTGGGAAATTCAACCTGGAATGTACTGCAACTGCCAAGGACCTTCTTTCTGTATTATTCTAATGCATAAGGCAGAAGAAGAACTGGCAGCCTCTAGCCTTTTTACTTTTAGCATTAATCTGTTCATGAGGTCGGATCCCTCACAGCTAAACTCCTATCATAAGGCCCCACCCACACACCATTACATTGAAGATTATCTTTTCCACATAGTACTTGGGAAATACTATGAATGTGTCCCCATGGTATGTGGGACACATTCAAACCATAGCATAAGCAAAAATTTAAAACTTACTCTAATCATAACTTTACTAAAAGAAGTAACTTTTATTTTCAGGGGAAGCAGCTGCTTCACTAATTCTTCATAAATTGGTTTTAATTTCTTACATTTATAAACTTTATAAGCATTCTTTGGGGATATTGTGGTTTGGTTCCAGACCACTGTAACAAGCTGAGTTACATGATCTTTTTGTTTTCCTTCATGTTTTCAAAGATATATTTCCACTATACTCTATCACTTGGGCAAGAGCATTATGTATAAAAAACAAGGTATATGACTTTCTTACAAAAGATTTTATTTTTTAAAAAAGGCTTTTGATCATCTGAACTTTTAGCAAATTTAAATCTTGTTGATGTAAGGTCTTGCCTTCTTAATGGGTGTTAACTGATCTAGGCGATGTTTGCTTAAGGTTGAGATGAATGTAGAAATTTCTTAAAATAAGACAGCAGTGAAGTTTTCCACATCAATTAACTATGCCTTTCATAAAATATAGGTCTTTCACAGGCAATGTCATTTGTAGGATTTTTATCATAGTATAGTGTTTCTAAAATTGAAGTCAATTCTCCCCACCCTTAGTATCATCAAATTACTTAATTTATTTATTTATTTATTTATTTATTTATTTATTTATTTATTTATTTTTGGTACCAGGAATTGAACTCACAACCTTGTGCTTGCCAGACAGGTGCTTGTGTCCCTGAGCTACATCCTCTGCCCGATATTATCGTATCAACCAAGATTATGTAATACTCTCAGTTATTTGTTGTTATCTCAGCAATGTTGACAGCATCTTCACCAGACAAATATTGCTTCTGAAGGAACTATTTTCTTTGATCACCCACATGAAACAACTTATCCGTTAAAGTTTTACAGTGAGACTGCAACAATACCACCATATCTTCAGTGACCACTTCTAATTTAATTCCCTTTTTATTTCCAACATATCTGAAGTTACTTCCTCACCCCAAGTATTGAGACCTTCAAAGTCACTTCTGCATGTTGGAGTCAGTTGGTTTTAAAATCTTGTTAATATTGTTAATTTGAGCCCCAATCCATGAATCATGTATATTTTTAATGACATCTGGACTGACAAGTACTTTGCAGAAAATTTTCAATTTATTTTTCCTATATTCAGAAGAGGAATCCTTATTAAGGAAAATTTATAGCTGTATTAAATGTATTCTTGTCAACACATTGATCTCCACATAGTGTCTTTGGTTGCACCTCCAGGTTCCCAAAAGTAAGATAATAGAGGCTACCAAATTAGCTATTGATGCCGGATTCCGCCATATTGATGCAGCATATCTGTACCAAAATGAAGAAGAAGTAGGACTGGCCATCAGAAGTAAGATCGCAGATGGCATTGTAAAGAGGGAGGACATATTCTATACTTCAAAGGTATTATGTGTATGTTATTCTGTGTGTATATTTATTTAATGTGATTATATGGGGATGACAATTATAGGATGGATCACTGGCTATTTGATGAATTATTGCTTATTTGTACAAGTTTTATGCACATTGATTTATGTATTAAAACTAGGATCCAAAACAGATAAAGTGATGTCTTTGTCATCATTAGGGTACCTGTACTGGTGACTTTAATGTTGAGACACTTTACTTCTTTGAGTCTTAGGTTAGAGATATGTGATTCCTTATTGACTAGAATAAGACAGTAAAATGATTAGATTCTGGCTTTTATGATCTCTTGTGCAACTTTCTGAAATTTTTTTCATCTAATTTTAAATTTTCACTTGGTCAATTAAAAAAAATCAATGTAAGGAAGGTCTTTAGTATTAGAAAGATATACCTAAAATCTGATTAGTTGTGTACAGAACATATTAAAATGTTCTCAACTATTCTGCCCTTTAATTATTAGATTAAGAGACTACTAATTCTTCCCCATTGAGTTGAATAGATAAAGATTTAGAATAATTTTGTGTACCACTTTATAAATTTAATAAAATATAATTCATGTAATGGTCATTACCACTGAGAAAAAACTAAAGTCTTGATTAATTTTCTTCCATTTTAGTAAATATGCTACCAATAAATAAACATAATAAACTTTGCATGTACAAGACAGATGAAAGCAAACTAAGGAAAGCACTGGCTACATTTCCCCTCTGTTAAAGAGTTTTCAACAAGTAGAAATTAGCTAGGCCTGGTGGCACATGCCTGTAATCCCAGCACTTGGGAGGCTGAGGTAGGAGGATCATTGTGAGTTCAAGGCCAGCCTGGGCTACAAAGTGAGTTCAAGGCCGGCTTGACCTGCATAGCAAGACCCTGTCTCAAATAGACAAAAAAAAAAAAAAAAAAAAAAGTAGAAATTCTCTCCGTATTAAGTGAAGCAAGTCAACAAAGTTGGCTTAAGTTTTAATTTCAGATTTTTTTCTTTAACCTCTGTAGCTTTGGCCCACATTCAGTAAACCAGAGTTGGTCCAACCAGCCTTGGAAATGTCACTGAAAAAACTGCAACTGGACTATGTTGATCTCTATCTTATTCATTTTCCAACACCTTTGCAGGTAAACATGTACACAAGCTCTGTCACTGACAATATCAGTTTAAATGTTATTTATGTAAATGGTTAAATGAAGAATTTTTAACAGAAAATAGTGTGCCCTACACCAGAGAAAATCCTAAGTACCCTTATTTTGAGGAATTTTTTAATCCTTCATTCCACACTTTTTGCCTCCAAGAGAACAGATTTCAACAACTCAAATCCTGTGTCTCAAAGACTTGCGGAAATAACAAAAGCCACCTTTAAGGCAAAAGGAAAAAAAAAATTACTGATCCTGTTTGGTATTTCTGCATGCCACTAGACTATCACACGTCCTGTGGGATATGGGGTCTGTTGTTTTCCCTGGGTCAAGAAAACAATCCATTATTGCTGGATATTAAGGCCATGTAATTACTTCCTTACCCAGTGAGAGACAGAGATCTTTCTCCAGGGGAAAATGCAGGGGCTGACAAATGTGACAAAGGTCAGATGGGACCCTATTAGACTCTGGAAAATAGCACGCATTAAATATGCAAAAGATGAATGATTACAGGAAGCCTGTCTTCAGAGGACATTTCTTATTACTTCAGAAGAAAATACTTTACAAATGTCAGTATGTAAAGTGCTGCTAACATGCTTCGTGAAGCCTATTATCCTAGTCCCAAAAACACTTGTTCAGTAACTAGTTGTGGCAACACAAATTCATTAAAATCTCTAAAGTGTCTGCTTCTATTCCAGCCTGGAGAGGATATTATACCCCGAGATGAACATGGAAAACTATTATTTGATACAGTGGATCTCTGTGATACGTGGGCGGTGAGTCCCTGGAGGAGAGAGCACAGAGGCAGGAGTAGGAAGACAGGGTCAAGTTTGACCTCCAGCTGTGAGAATGACTTGTACACTGTCAGATCTAGACATTTAGGGCCTCCACAAGGACTAGTCTGATGGAGTAGTGCCTAAGAATGTTTTGCTAGAGTGTAATAGCAATAGCAGAGAATAACTGAAAAAAGTAGAGATTGGGATCTCTTGCCCTCCACATGCAATGGTTTCTTCCATTTGCTTAGGAAGGAATAAGAATGTTTTTTTCCCTGGTGTCACTATCTTGTTCTATTTTTGCAACAAATGCTTGTCTCTACACAACAATCTCCAGCATTTCTCTGCAGTGCTCCTTCTAACCGTTCTTGCTGGTAGGCATATTGGTTTGAAGATAATCTCACAAGTTGTTCTTCACAACCTGTTTCTCTCCAGGCCATGGAGAAGTGCAAGGAGCTGGGATTGGCCAAGTGCATTGGGGTGTCCAACTTTAACCGCAGGCAGCTGGAGATGATCCTCAACAAGCCAGGCCTCAAGTACAAGCCTGTTTGTAATCAGGTGAGTGCCCTCTGACTTCATTCATTCTGGTTTTCTTTCCCATCTGCTACTCTTATTTGGATGTCTCTGTTTCCCACTTTGCTCTATTTGTTTTGCCTTTGTGGTGCAGAGGAAGCTTAGAGCTGAGACTTTGGGAAGGCACAGATGATCATTCATTATGATTCTGCTTGAGAATATCTTATTGAAACATATGGGGCATTTTAGCACTAAATGGTGTATAAAATGTAGGGGAAGTTGAGGTCATCAAGAGGGTGGGTGGGGTGGAAACTTGGCAAATACTCATTATGTAGACCTCAGGAGAAGATGCACTTTCCTTGGGCTATGCACGATGACCACAAATTGGGTGGGTGCAGCTGCTGTTAAGAGCACTATGCATGGGAATTAGAGCCATGAAAGCAGGCCATGGTCACAAAAGAAGCCTAAGATATATTTTGGTTGGAATTCTAATTCTAATCTCTGGGTAGATTTTTGATGTTTGAGTCTTTCATTCTGGCATTCTCCTTTTAGTCTGGAGGTGTAAATATGGGAAAAATTTACTGTTGACTTTGATAGTCACTCAGGATATAGGAAGCATATTACTCATTTATGGTAATATTAATGTTGGATGAAATCAACACTCAGATACTTACTAGAACATAGAGCTGACCAAAGTGTCTGGGCATATTTTGGTCACCTATCAATCGTTCAAGCACATACATTTTGTGTCTGGTTCTGAACTCTTACTTTTAGATAGCTTCTAGGAATGTAGTAGTCCATCTTAATTGTAAAACAGAGCTTCCAAATTCATGAATTTACTATGCAATATTATCTTGTAATGGAAATATTAAAAATTATTGTCATTTCAATACTAATTTTATCAGAATTTCTTATGACAATGATTTCAACCCATTAGAACATTTGAAAGAATAATGAAGAAAATCCATCCTTTCCCACTTATACCCTAACTTTCTATGTTGTCATATGTTGGTACGAGTGTGTGTGTGTGTATTTCCATTTACGAGCATATTCTGCTTAATCTCTTCAAAGTAAATTCTGTAAATGACTGTTCACCCCTACAAACAGAAAAAAACATCTCCTAAGAAAAAAAATATTCCCCCAACAGTTACAGTTGCATTATTAAGTCTAAGGAAGTAATGACTCTCTCTCATCTTTTAATATCTACTTCACATGCAAATTTTCCATTATTTTTCCAAAATGTCTTCTATACTTGCTTTCTTAACCAGGGTAAACTTGTGGTTCACATGTAAGTTTTTATCCTGTTCTTCAAGCTCTTTAACCTTAAAAGACTACCAGTCATTTTTCCCATGATGTTCACATGAAACTTTGCAAATACTCAATACTCGTCAGATTCTTTACTTGTAATTATGCATAATTTGGTTCTATATATTAAATTTTGTATCTTAGAAGTTAGACCAGCTGCTTTATTATATTGTTAACCATCTTTGGTAAGAAAATATCCATAGCATGTCACATCCAGCATATTTCATCCCAGTAGAAAGCACAGAGTGACAGATTGTCTCACTGCTAGTGAGGTGACTTTGTTCTCTTTGTTCCGGTGGTTATAATGGGTCTTGTCTTCATTTCTTTTGTTGGTTAATTTTTTTGTTTATTTGTTCATTCCAGTGCTGGAGAAGGCACCCAGCACTTTGTGCATCAGATCTCTTCTTTGGAAGCCTCTGCTCCCTCTCTGTATTCCATAGTAGTACGCTGCTGAATAATAATCACCAATGGAAGTTATGTCTTAAATAAATTCTCCACAGTAATTGAATATCTGTTGATGATTTTTGCCCAAATTTATTTACTTCATGGAGGCTTATAAATAGTACTTTTTTTAACTATTATTTTCTTTTTCATACCTTATATTTTATAAGAAAAATTTATATATCAAGTCAAGATAAACTATAATGTTACCTAAATGGTAATAGAATCTTTAGTAGCTTCTCTTATCAATCTTCTGAGAATTGAGCTATCATACTAGTCATCAAGAAAAAAATGTCTTGTGATCTCTTTCTGTATCTTTTACATTAGAATCAAGGATTTTTTTATATGTTTGAATTGATTTTTCTCATTTTAAAGAAGAAATTCCTCTACTGTTAGCAAGGTCCCTACAGTTACTGAAGACCGCTGGCCATAAAAATTCATTGTCATATATTTTTCTCTCACCCATGATGTAGGCAGGGGACAGAATCCAGTCTAGGGAGCATCCTAGACCCAATCCTCTTCCCTGAGGGCCTGTCCACATGATTTTGTGTCCTAGATGAGACTAGCATCTTTCGTCTGCTCATTAGGTTAAAATACCTCTTATGGCTTCTCCGGCCCTAGATGAAGAGAACAGAGAAAAGAGCTCTTGCAGCTGCCACAGACCCTCCTCTCATTCCTTGGGGCCAGTATCTCCTGTTATTGCTGCTCTTCATAAAATAAAAAAATTTAATGTTTTAGAATTATAGTCCCAATTTTGACCACTGATAAGTCCTCCCCATTGTTCCATTTCAGGCCTTGTCGTTCCTAGATTTTCTTGCCATTTGGAGCTCAGCTGAGCCATTTGAAGTTCTCCAATTTGAGCCTTCAGCAGTTTGAATGATTGGAAAATTCGTGTCTTTGTTATTCACACCTTTGGCAGCCCTTTGCAGGGAGTAGCTACAAAGGTGCACGGAGAAGGCAGGACAGTGGGGCATCTCTGTTGTGGTTTGTGTGGGAATGGAAAATGTTAATCTTAACTTGAAGTCCCCAGGTAGAATTTTAGCGATCTGGTATCTAAAGGTACGCTTGGATTTTAATGTAATTATTTTAGGTATCAGTGTGATTGCTGGTCTATGTTTATGATAAAGTCAATAAGAAACAAAAAAGATTGCTGACATTAACAGTCTTATTGGAAATTTATTTACATAAAAGTACTTAGATTCTGAAGAGAAGAGAGAAATCCTCCATCTGGCCCAGTCTTGGTGACTTTGGGTGACCAGTGTCTTGATGGAGGTGTTAAAGTGACTGACCCACGACGCTCGTTGGTCTCACAGGATCCCATTTCAGAACTCATTATTCCTGGTGGAACTCTCTGGAGCTCATGGAAGAAGTAAATAGAGTGTATTCACTTGTTGCCTTGAGCTCCCCCACATGCTTCAGTTTTCAGGGCTTTCTGGCTTTTTGTTTTGTTTTATTTTTTTTGGTTTTGGTTCATGTATTTATACTAGCATCAACTCTATCCCATAGTTCAGCGAAGTACTGCCCCATAGGTTAAGAGCCCTCACTCTCAGCACAAGGGATATCACTGCACACCCACTGCTGCAAGGTACCACGGAAGATCTCCTGGGACAGGGAGTCTGCACACTCAGTACCTGCAGTGGTGACCCTTGGGTGCCTTCTTTTGCCTTGGGCTGTATATGGAGAAGACAACCTATATAACCACTCTTCTGGCATGCAACTAGCTTCATCCGCATGTTGCCTGTAGGTCTCAGAGTTGGTAGGAAAACGGACGGTGTGCTTTGATTTCATGTAGCCTGTGTTATGAAGAGCACTCAGCTAAGCAGAGCAGCAGCGGAGGAGCCACTCTGGCAAGGCATCCCTGTAACCAACACATTGGCTGACCCCCAGCAACTCCACAGCATCCATTCTTGCTCCAGTCGTCAGAAAAGTCTCTAACAAAATTGGCCAGCATTTAATTAAAACTTAGCACTTAAACTGTCCCTATAATTTGTAGAAATAACTTTGTCTAAAGTACATAGCCATGACTGTTTACTTTTGCCCTTCTGAGTTTGCGGGTTTTTTTTTGTTTCATTCCTAGTGAATCCCATTTTGGATCTGCACACTTACATATTTTGTTTTGCTTTTTAATTTTGCTTTGTTTGACCGAAAGGTTTTTGGTTCTCTATCTGAATCTTTTCTGTTAAGATGGATATTTGCGTTTACTCAGGAAATTCTTATTTTAGTTGATCCTAGCTGGAAAGTAGGCATTAAAAGTGTTAGCCTTCAGATTATATGGGACTAAAGAAAAAATGTAAAGGTTTTAAAATCAAGTTAATGGTATATAAAAATTTAATTCAAAACTTGCACATATAAATCTGTGAGTTCAGCCTATAACCAGGTAGGTTCAACTTGTTTCATCTTGTGAAAATGTAATTTAACTTGAAGTGTTGGGAAATCTGGTAAATTTATATTGCCATGTTGCTTTGTGGTACAACTAAAATCTAAACAAGAAAATCTCTGACAAGGGGCTGGAGATTTAGCTCAGCGGCAAAAGCGCCTGCCTGGCATGCGCAAGGCCGTGAGTTCGGTTCCCGGTACCGGAGAAAAACCAAAAAAAAAAAAAAAAAAAAAAAGAAAATCTCTGACAAATTAGTCAATTTGCTGGTACAGTAAAACAGATACTTTGAGAAATGTTAATACACATTTGATTGTATTGCTAGTCTGTCAGGAGTATAATTATCTGTGTTAGATGTTTAAGATTCCATAGCCATTGCTTTCTGTATCACAGATAGAATGACTTTCAGTGCATTTTCCTATACAAATAAATAACTTAAAAGTATTAGATGTGCTCCTCTAATATCCCAATTTTTCATGAAATAACTGTCACAAATAAATTTGGTAAATATAAATTGAACAAATGTTCATATATGTACATTACAGAGAGGAAATAGCTCAGTCATCAATTACATTAAACTACTGAAGCATCAATTGCTAAAAACAAATTCAAATAATCTTGGCTTCTTAAAATCAAGAAGGAAGCCATTATATTTTGTTCTATTAAGTGTGTTTCATAAATCATTTGTATGTAAAAACACTTTATGATGTCCCAGGCAAGGAGGCCCATGCCTATAATCTCCAAACTCTGGTAATCTGAGGCAGGAGGATCTTAAATTTGAGCTTTCATATACTAGACATTTATGAAATAGACCTATGGTTTATATGCCCACCATGACACAGGGAGAAAAAGAGAGAGAGATAGAGAGAGAGATAAATTCTTATGTTTTTTGCTGTCTTTGTTAGATTTTTTTTAGATTGTAATGAATCAGGAAAACTTAGTCAAAAATTATGTTTTTTAAAACATATTTGTCTTTAAAAATGCTTTTTATAACTATGGCTAAATGAATAACTATTATTTTTCCAATCATACACATTATATGAATAATAATAATTTTGTTATATGAATAATAATACTGCAATTTTTAAAATAGAAAACACTAAAATCTCATGGTGTTTCACATAATAATCATGATGGGTGTCTAAACATATAACTTATAATTGTAGTTATCAAACTCAGAAAAACACTCTTCATAGCTATAAACTACATAGAGTTTATAGCGACTTTGAATAGCATGGGTCATGTGTCAGTAGTGAGTAAAAGGCAATCTTGTTTTATTCATCATTCATCTCAAATTAGTTGAAAAAAATTTTAATGTAAGATATGTATAAGACTAGGTAATTTAAAGTAGTTTTCTCAAGATAAAACTTTTATTCAGATTTTATTATTGCATATAACCCAAATTTGCTGGTAAGCTAACTTAAAATTTAATCAATTATACTAAATATAAGGATATATGATTAAATTATAGCAAAAATATAATCTTAGAAGCCATATATAAGTTAGTAGCCAACACTTTTAAATAATCTGGTATTTTTCCTGGACTGTGTAGGCTTGAAATACCAAATAAAAGAAAAAAATACCAAATAAAATTTAATTTCTTATTGAAATGTGATAAAATATGTTCTAACTAGTAAATAAGCATTCATTCATATAGTCTGTGTCCAAATTTTTACAGTACCTTGTTTTTCTGTGGTATATATCTAAGAAATTTTAAGGTGCTGTCATTACAAAAAAAAGTGAAAACAAATGGAGTTTACTTATTAAAATGTTACCTTTACATTCTATATGATTAGAGTCCCTTAAGATTAAATTCTTGGAGAAAAGAAAAATTTAATTTGGAATTTTGAGGTGATTCCTTAGTATACTCTATTACTTGATTTTACAATTTGTCAACAAAAACCAATGTATTATAAAAGTAAAATCATATGCTTTCTTCCCAAATGATAATTCACCTTGGTTAGTATGAAAGGACTCTGACAAGCAGATTTTTAAATTTTTATTTTTATTAATACATATCTGCAATGCATAGTGATTACTTTCATCGTAGATAGTTGCTAAAGGTACATAAGACATCTTATTCCTTTTTAGGTCCCCTTCCCCTCCCCCACGCCTTCTCCTTAGTTCTTGGTTCCTTTCCCATTTGCAAAAGATCTCTCTCTTATTATTTATCTATTTCCTATTATTTATCATTTATTCTACTCTTTAATTTATTCATATATTGGGTTCTCATGTAAGAGAAACCATGTGATATTTGTTTGTATGTCTGGTTTATTTCATGTAACACTGTACTCTCACAGTACATCTCTTTCCTACAAATGACACATTTATCATTTTTTATACCATAGTTGTGCATGTTGTGCATAAATACCACATTTTCCTTATCCATTCATCTGTGAATGGACATGCTTCTGAGATTTAGCTATTATAAATTGTACTGCTATAAACAGAGGTATTCATGTATCACTGTAATATGATGTCTTTACCTCTTTCAAAAGATGCCTAGAAAATGAATAGTGAGGTGACTGGAACTTCTATTTTTAACTTTTTGAAGAATCTCCACACCAATTTCCATAGTTTTTGTACAGGTTTGCATCCCTGCCAATTATGTGGAAGATACCATTTGCCCATATCCTTGCCAGCACTTGTTATGATTTGACTGCTTGAGGATAGTCATTCTGGAGTGACATCAAATCCAAGTGCTGTTTTAATTCACATTTGTCTAATGGTCAGAGATGTTGAAATTTTTTTTTATTTATTGGCTATTTGTACTTCTGAGAAGTATCTATTTAAATGCAACCTTTTCACTAAATTAAACTTGTTTTGTAGACAAAATAATTTTCTTTGATTGAGTAAAACATAGGAATTAAAAGAGTCATATTTCTTTTTTAAATCTACCATTTAAATTGAATTTCTTCTGCTCTTGCTAGTTTGTTTTATATTTTTCTTGTGAACATTGTAACAGTTGCCTGTCAAAATTCTGTTTAATACTTAATGATGCCAACTGTGACTTACAGAACAAAGGAGATGAAATCTAATAATGGGTCATCATCAACATTTCTTTAGGAAAGGCAGATTGAAAATGGCTGCTTTCCTGGTTATGGCCACACCACACATAAACTCATTTTTGAAGATATTTTTATCTTCTCTCTTCAGTGAGCAGAAAGATAACTCCTGTCTAACAGGATCCTACCTATCCTTGGAGTCCCTGTTAGTACAACCAAAATTTTTCTTCACCCTTCACACTTGCCTTTAGATATCTTGGACCAAATTCTTGCATCTGGAATGATGCTATATGCAAGGCTACAAGAATTGTTTCCCTGGGCCAGATATGGAATTTCTTGTGTCTCTGTGTAGTCCAAAATCTGTTCTATACAATTGTTTTTTCTTAAGAATATTTGTTTTATTCCTTTTTTTGTTTAGGAGTTAGATTATTTTTTCTTTCAGGAGATAGTGTTATCTTCTCATTTAAAACTTTATGTTGCACAGGTTTGAAAACTCATGTTTCCCTTCACATTAATTTGATGGCTTCTTATAATCTGATGCCTTGCTATGTTGTCCATTTGCAGGTGGAATGTCATCCTTATCTCAACCAGAGCAAACTGCTGGCTTTCTGCAAATCAAAAGATATTGCCCTGGTTGCCTACTGTGCTCTGGGAACTTCACGAGATGAGCGATGGTAAAGTCAATAGGGAGTTTACTTAAAAATCTATTGTCAATTAAATATTTTTGGTCACATAATACTCAGTATTGGAGAGGTCACTTGCAGCTGGTTCAGGGAGGGGGTAATTGTAATTCTATCAAATTTACAGATGACACTGATACTTCTCGGCCCAAGATCAGAGCTACGTAACTCTGTTCTAGAACACGCACCTTAGTGTCTTTTGGGAGACTCATAACAAACCTAATTTTTAGCTTCAGGGCATGAGCATTTTTGCCTTTTGGTCCAGGGTGGACCCAGCCTCCCCAGTTCTCTTGGAAGATCCAGTCCTTTGTGCCATGGCAAAAAAGCACCAGCGATCTCCAGCCCAGATTGCCCTTCGCTACCAGATGCAGCGAGGAGTTGTGGTTTTGGCCCACAGCTTGAATGAGAATCGGATCAAGGAAAACATGCAGGTAATGTGGGAGCCGTGGACATCAGGGCAACCTCCACAGTATCTTTCACATTTGTGCTACTTTGTAACCTCTCAGACATCTTTTGGCTGAGTGACATTCTCTATGATAGTCCATTTGTATTTATTTATGGGAATTTCTACCAGCTTTCTCCTACTATGGCAGCAGGAAAGGCAGCATGGATGGGTGGTGTTAGGACCGCACAGAAAACAGAAAGGTGGGTTTCAACATCAAGTCTGCAGTGTTCTAAATAACTCCAGGCCAATGACTCTGTCTTTACTCTTTGCCTGAAATGAGGGAGTTGACTTATGTGACTTTATATATTTTTCACTCAACTCTGTCATGAATTTTCAGGACAACAATGCCCCCTTCCTCAGTACAGCTTGGTCTCCAGGCAACTAGCCCAGCCTCTCATCACGTGGCTCAATTCCAAGGCAGTGAGAGGAAATTTAAATGCAGCTTTCATGTCTAGGCTCAAAGCTAGCACACCATTTACGGTAAGTTGTAATGAAAAGTGCAAGCTATAGGCAAGACCAGATTTAAGGACTTGAGTAACAGGGCCCACTTGATGGTAGAATGAGGGGCTCTTTCAAAAAGCACAGGGTGCAGAGACAGAGAGATAAAGTATTAAGGAATATTTGAAATATTAATTTACCACATAAATTTATTCTAGATATTAATTTTTGAGATTCAGATATAGTGTTGATATAGCAATTTCCCAAATTGTGTTTGTATTTTCACTCTCTTTATGACGTATTATAATGAACAAAGTTTCTATTCCCAATGTTGTCAAATACTTCATGGTTTTCTCCTATGACTGATGGCTGCCTAACTAGTGCTACAGTGGGAACACCACAATGTTATACTACCTTGCTTTGTGGAAGTATTTTAGATTTTCCTTTTAATTTGACCCTTACAACTAGAATTGCTTTGCTAATATTACATGAAATAATGAGACACATACACATACACATTTTTAAATGGATATCCAAATGTCCCAGCAACAGTTACTGAAAATTTAATATTTTCTCACAGATCTGTATTGCCATTTCTATCATATACCTAATGTTCACAGTATCTTTTTGACTTCTCTCTTGTATTCAGACAGCTTATTTATTTCTCTGTAGTGTTTTAACCAGGTTGGAAAATAAGTCACACTGTGCAGAATGGTAAAACTTCTTCCTAACTCTTCTTTTTGAAAAATATTTTGTGCGATGTAACTATTTCTTTACATAATTCAGAGCTGGACATGGTGGCGCATGCCTGTAATCTCAACACTCAGGAGGCTGAGAAAGGAAGATCCTTGCGAGTTTAAGACCAGCCTGAGCTATAATGTGAGCTCAAGGCCACCTGAGCTGCATAGCGAGACTCTGTCTCAAGAAGACAAAAAAATTGAGAATCAGTCAATCACCACTAAATAGTACATTTTAAGTGTTTTCTTGATAATACATTGAAACTGAAAATCATGTTGGAGAGAACTGAACTTTTGACAGTAGTGATATTTGCAATCTAAGGTTGTGATATGAATTTTTAAATGTTTAGGTTATATTTTAGTATATTTCAATAAATTTCATAACTTTCCATTATATACAGTTTTTATTTCTTTACATTTATTCAGAGGAACTAAAAAAACTTGATTTTCTTTTGATAGTTTCCTCCTTTTCAGTAGGATAATTTCCAAATATATGAAAAATTTAAAGCATAGAGTTCTAAACACCTCCGGCTAAGGCCAATCAGTTGTGATATAATTGACTTTTCTGTCAGTATCTCTTTTTTAGAGAATTATCATTAATTTATGGACCTATTAGCAATTTGTTTCAATATGTTAGCAATTATTGACAATCTTCTTGGTGCTTAAACTACTCCTAATTTAGATGATGACTTCCTTTTCAAGACACTTGGGTTCCCTTTGATGATATTGTCACAAGGTTTTGGATAATATATGCCTCATTAATATGACAAGAATTTGTTTTCATTCTGTTTACTAATGGAATACAAAAATTGAACCCTATTCATGAATCTTGCCAACCAATTGTTAAAAATTAGTTTCTATATTTTTTGAATCTTCTACATACATCATCTTTCAAAAATGTCTGTTTTCTACCTTTTCTAGTTTCTTTTAAGATCTTTTCTAGTTTCTTTTAAGATCTTTTCTGTAATACTCAGTTTTAATGTATAAAGGCTTGGATTTCTATTTCTTTTTCACCTAACCTCCTTCACAATTTGCATGTTTTATTCAATAACACTGATAGACTTTAAAAACTTTTCATCTATTTTATCTAGTTACTGCAGTGCTAAAAATTAAAGGCAGGGGCATAGGTATGCTAGGCAAGTACTCTACCCCTTCTTTATGTACTCAGCACTTCTTTCCTATTCTATATATTACCTCTACACCATTTAGTTACTTTTACTTGGATTACTTTGATTGACAGGATTGAGAGTAACACTAGTAAAACGCTTTTATTTGTTGGATAGGTATTTGAATTCCAGTTGACCTCAGAGGATATGAAAATTTTAGATGGCCTGGACAGAAATTTTCGGTATAATACAGCTGATTAGTAAGTATCTTTGATAAACATGTTGCCTCTACTTTTTTTCTGGGAAAGTGTAACACATATTAAAAGTTACCTCAATATCAGGAGACAGTGACTGGTTTGAGTCAGGCATGAGATGGGATCTCCTTTCTGTAAATAAAACCAGGCTTACTGTGGATTTCCACACCTGGGCCTCTGCACATTTTATTCTGTGAAACTTTCCATACCAGCCATGTATGTTATATGCTAAATATAGCATATATACTATATATTCTCTGTAGTTAAATTGTTAAATATATCAATTTATCTTAGATTAGAGAAAAAATGAAGAATTAGGTAGGGACATAATTTAAAGAGATAAAGGAAGTGGCAATTCATGACTAATATTTCTACTTTTTGAGTGTTTTAATAAGTAATGATTTCTATCACTTTATATTTTGTGTTGGTAAAGTACGGACAGTGCCACATTAAAAAGAAACCTGTTAGAATATGGAACTCTATCTTATGAGTGAAATGCTTTCAATTTCTGAATTTAACAAATTATGTCAAGTGACAGGTAATGAGGAAGTAACTTATGAATTAGCACACTGGAAGTGAAATTGCTAGCAGTGGCTCATATACCCTGAAATATGTTTTAATGCTGACCAATATCTGCACTTGTCCTTTTCCAAAATTAGAAAGAATCAGCCTCTCTCATTGAGAATTAAAAATAAGATGGGATAAGGTATTGATTTTGCTCATTGATACATGTGGCTTATGAATAATAATATGAAATTTTGTGTCTGTGTGTTCTTTGAAATTCCAGGCAAAAATTGACTATCAGAAATTTAATTATGCTTACAAATTCATTTTAATGCTGGGCATGGTGCTGCATGCCTGTAATCCCAGCACTTGGGAGGTTGAGGCAAGAAGATCACTGTGAATTTGAGGCCAGGCTGGGCCACATAGTGAGTTCAAGTCAATCTGAACTACACAGTGAGACCCTATTTCAAACAACAATAAAGCAAACAAAAAATTACTATAATGTCATGTTCATGAACTAAGGAAGGCAAATTTAAAACCAGTCATTAATTAAAATGATTAAATTTAACTCAACGACAGCTTCATTGAAATCATGTTATCTCCCTATAATGGAGTTGAGCTGATGTTATGCATTTTCTGAATTTTAGTTTGGCTGGACACCCGAACCATCCATTCTTTGATGAATATTAGCACAGAGACCTTTGCCATGGCTTCCATCAGAAGCCCCTGCTTATGAGTAATGATGCAGGAGATGTTTCAGAAGCAGCTTTCTGGACACAACACTTCTTGTCCCTGGATGCTGCCTGTCAGCGGATACACAGCTGGCTCTAAGTCTACGGGTCTGGAAGGGAAAATATGCATCTTCGTCACATCCAGAAGAATAATATCTCATTGTCTGTGATAAATATTCATACCTGTACAATCTATTACTTGTGTGGTGTGTTTCCTTCTAAATTGTTAGGATCCAAAACCGATTTGCCTAGAGGTTTGTGGACAGCCAACTGGAAGTAATAATAGCCACTTTACAAAATTTCTGGGGTTGGAGTAGCTAAGAGTTCTCAGGCTCAGGAGAAGTGGCAGGTGGGAAGTATTTACAAGTCATTTCTCCTTTTAAGATTTTTTCATGGGTCCCAGTCTCCATATTCTTTGTTACATGAATGTACATGTCATTGCACTAAGACATGATGTCTATTTTCCCACTTTGTAAATCTGGTTTGGGGTCAGGGATATAGCTCAGTGGCATAAGCACCTACCTGGCAAGCTCAAGGTCCTGAGTTCAATTCCCAGTAAAATAACATGAAACAAAACAAAACAAAACAAGAACATGTCTGGTCTGGCCCATAACTTGCACTGGTAAAATAATTTGCCATGAGCAATGACGTGCCGTTCTGAGCCTATGCCAATAAAGTCTGTTTAAGTTCTTACTACCTGCCTGGGTTAGGCCACGTGATTTGGTGACACATTGGCTAGCTGACGAGATGATGAAAACTATAAGGAGAAGAGCTGAGGCACCCCTGAGCACTGCCCAATCAATATGCAGGCTCAGGGATGTCTCTGTGTACTGAAAATACTATCCAGAGCAGAAGAAATAATCATCTGGGGCCAGGCTAATGGTTATATTATAAGTAAATGAGTGTTGTATTCAGCTGCTATGTTGGAGTTGGTTTACTATATAGCTCTAAGATGACACCATAATTATCTCTCATGCACAAATGAAAAACACATTTATAAAAACACTTCACAGTAGAAGGAATTTAAATTGACTAAACAAGCATTTTAAATCATATGAATACTCAGGGAATGCCAAATAAAGCCATTATCATTTGTGGACTGAAAATCAACTAATCCTGCTCCACCATTTCAGAAAACCAAGAAAAGCAGGTGTTACTTCCATAGGACTATGCCATGCATTGCTAACTTAATGTTGAAAGCAAATCTCTGCTCTCTGCTCAGTCTTAAATGTAACCAGCCACACTATCTCTTGCATTGTAGACTAGAACACTCAGTATATATGCAAAATGTATGTGTAAGTGAAATGTTACATGATCCAAAAATGTTTTGAGAGCTTTCAGTGACACATATTTGTGAAGGATACTGTGTAGGGGCCCTGATATCCTAAGTGCCATTTATCACCTGGAAGTTCTCTTTGCTGTGTTTCTCACCGAAGCCGTGCTGAAGCTGATCACAGAAGGCAGTCAGGCAAGGAGTTCTCTTTGAGCGTTTTGTCTTAGCACAAAGGATTGGGTGACCCAGGAGAACCAGGGAGCTCTGGTCTACCCTGGAGGTAAAGGCAGAAATGTCCTGATGCTGTGCTTCAGTTGGTCAGTGCGCTTCACAGAAGACTAAGATGCCCACTCTAAATCACTGCTTCTGAAATGTTTCCTAGACCGGCAACAGCAGTGTCACCTGAGGTTCTCAGAAATGGAAGTTTTTCACTGTGCCTAAGTCAGCAGAAATTTAACTCTAGAAATCTTAATATCGTGGTACTAAAAATATTTTATTAGCAATAGTGTTTAGGTAAGTTCCTGTTTACTTTGATTTAATTTGCTCATTTCATTAGGTTTCTAGAACACAATAGGTATCAGTCTTTTGACTTTATGTAAATCTAGTAATGCAATTTGATTGAGATAAGGGTGACATTCTTCTTGTACATGGACAAGATAGGAAGCTATTAGATAGAATATTACCATGAAGGGGAAAAATTAAAAGTAAGCGAAGCTGAATTTTTTTTGTTTGTTTGTTTTTTTGAGACAGGGTCTTGCCATACAGTTCAGGCTGGCCTTGAGCTCACTTTGTAGCCCAGGCTGGTCTCGAACTTGCAACAATCTTCCTGCCTCAGCCTCTTGAGTGTGGGGATTACAGGCATATGCCACCATGCCCGGCTACCTCCAGATTCTTGTTGGGTTAATAAGACCTATTTTAAACTTCACTTACGACTTCATCTCCTTCCTTTCTATCCTCCCCGTTTTTCTCCTCTCTTCCTCCGGCTCTTCTTCTGCCACGCCAGCTCAATAAACTGAATTTTTAAAAAAAACTTCTGTGCAATATAAAATTGGAAATGAAAATTAACCTTAACATTCTCTTTAAAATATTAACTTAATATTTCAACCCCCTGGTAAGGTCTTTTAAAAAGCAAGAAATGATATTTCTAGGAGAATTAAGTATATGCATGGACAAGATCTTGGATTCTAAATAACCTGCTGCTGTACAAGAAGACAAGCCACGTTCAGATCTGGAATCCTTGCAGTCTTGGATGCTTAGCTACACCAAAGCAATGCTTTGGTGAAAGACTCAAGAGGTTGAGTCTGAAGGATAAGAGAACCATTTTGCGAGGGATATCACTAGTGAGATTTGGGTAGATAACTAGATCAAAGCAATAAGTAGAAAATCAATTTGATATATAATGTAAATTAAAACATGATTACATTATAACAGATACAAACACACAGAGTGAGAGTGCTAAAATATTTACTCCTGATAATTATATAATGATTGCTATTATAATAAGTGTTCTCAGAATGTTGACAAATAAAAGCAAGGTATTAAGTTTCCATTGTCTCATAAGAAAAACTGTAGTTTATATTTATTTGATACACAAAATTTTGACATTAAAATATCATCAAATGAATATTTCACAATGAAAATAATGTTTTAGTTGTCCCAATGAAATAAATGAATCTAGGCAAAGATCACCAATAGCTACTCAACTATTACATAAAATTTGTAGAGGAATGTGACTTCCTTTCTTGGTAATTGTCCTTCAGTAGGTTACTAGTAATTACAATGAGCAAAATATGTGCTTACAGGGAAGTGATCGGGCTATAATTAGCTGAACCAAGAGATTGCTCTAACATCACAGTTTTAGTTACTTTCTGGTCGCTGGGACACAACACCAGACTCCCTCAAACTAAAGGAGGAGAGATTTTTTTTTTGCTCACAGTTTCCAGGGTTTCAGTCCATAGTCAGCTGGCTCCAAGGCAGGGCAGCATGGCAGTGGGGCACGGCAGAGAAGAAACAGCCCATGGCATGGGGGCCAGAAGTAGAGAGAGTGACCAAGGGAGGTGAGAGGGAAATAGACCTTTCCAGACTGTGCCCCCAGTGATCTATCTTTTCCAATCAGGCTTCACCTCCCAACATCATATTTAGCTGTAAATTCATCAGTGAGAAAACCCACTGATAAGTATTATATTCCCATGACCCAGTTAGGTCCCAAAAGCCCTACCTATGAATTCATGAATCTTTGGGAAACTGTGTAGAAATAATCCAGAGCAGACACTAACCTGAGATAAACTGTCATTACCTGCTCCCTTATGGCCTGAAATTTGAGGGATACAGGATAATAAGGACATTTTCTTGTCAAAAGTGATTAGCACCAAAACTCTCCTCCATCTAGGGACATACTCTACCACTGAGCTATACCCAGACTCTTCAGGATTTACCTTATTCCATCAATGATTTAACCCTTCTATCTTCCTACTATTATGTAAAAATTTGATTATGGTGTGCTCTGTCTCTATCTTGATTAGGTTTTTGTGATCTATTAACATTTCTTCCTTGAATTCTGAATTTTTCTGCCAGTGTGTATGTCATGTATGCTTTCAAGTATTCCTGGGTCTATCAGCTGATATTGTTGAAAATACTAGAATTTGTCAAAATTATCTGCTAAAATGGCTATGGATATTATGAGGACTACATTGCTCCTTTCACATAGTATCAAACAGTTCAATTGGCCTCTGTTTCTCTCTGTTTCTTTTTTTACTCAAATTTTCTATAGAAAATATAACCTCTATGGGGAGGGTAAGCCACAGTTCTCTGTAAAGGTGACCAGAGTTTACTGAAGCCTTCCTTCACTTTCTGCTTTCATTTCTGCCCTTCTCCATTTCACTGGCACCCCTATACACATACTTGTCCACTGTGCTCTAGGAGAAATAATTTTTTGGACAAGAATATTTTTCTAGGTTCACACAGTCAGGTATGATTTGGGTAAATGTCCTTCAAAAACTCATATGTTAAGGAATTGCCCCCGAGTCACACTGACGTCTTAGAACCTGTAAGAGGTAGGGCCTACTGAAAGGTCTCCCAGTCACTGAAGACATCCTGAGATGGTAGAGATGGGACTTTCCTCTTAGGATTTATTCCTTTCTCTTTTTCCCTTTTTCTTCCACTCATGAGGTTAGGGCTTCCTCTGTCACATTCTTGTCTTATGATAAATTGTTTCCCAAAGGTCCCAAAGCAATGAGTCAACCAGCCATGGACTGACCCTCTAAAACTGTGAACCAAATTAGCTTTTTAAAAAATCCTTTTTATTAAGTATTTGTTATACGAATGGACATCTGAGGGTTGCAATAGAATTTGAAAGCCATCTTAGATCACAGATTGAGTGGCTGCACCAGATGGCAAGTGGGATAAAATTTTAAGATGACAGATAAACACTTTTATTTTAAAGGGAATTTGTACTGATATGTACAACAATTTCTTAGATTTATTGTTTTTAAAAACCTCAGAAAACTCTCTTCCCCAGCAAATATGCCCATTCACCTGCTGGGTACCTATGCAGTCTGTCTTCAATGAGAGCAATTTCTCCATATCCTGGAGCAGGTAACTCCATTGATTTTCTTCTGATAGGACATTCCTTCCTACATAGTGCACATAAATTTTTATACACAAATTCAGATGAGTATGAAGAAGGCAAAGGTCCTTGTATCTTTGAAGCTGATAGTTTTTGGGGTGTTTTAACCTTGATCCTTCTTGGCAAATTGTAGATGAAAAACCTCTTGTTTCACAAATGTAGAACAAATGTCTTGTGGTCCCTCCTGCTGTTGTTCTGTGTTGCTATTAACACATTCTTTGTCTCAAATGCTGTGCTCCATTTGAGTCCAGCTGCTCTGCATCTCCATGAAGGTTAGGCTAATTCTAGAGAGAAAAG